ACACAGCAAAAGATGCTTGAACAGGAAGGGGATATACATACTTTTTTTTTTTATGCAGTCCAATAGATAAACTGTGACAGGCACGTGTGGTCCTTTAACAGCCAAATCTGAGTTGTTGTGGGGTTTTTTTGCCATATTCCCTTTACTAACTTGTCTAATGGAACGCTATCATTGTATTGTAAACAGACAGTAGAGAGATGTCTAATGCCTGTGTGGGTGAAACTGTGCTTAAAGTATCAGTGAGTTAAATGGTAATATGAAAGCAATACGGGTGCATTATTAATGCCAGATGGTGTAAGATGAATACTGCAGAGGATCATAATTGAAGGGAGCTGTGGCTTCGGTGGAGACTTGAAATCCAGGTTTCCTTTCGGTGATCAACTCTTCCAGTAAAAATACTGGAGCTACTGGGAGGACATTCTTATATAGTTTTTGCTGTCAGTAAAATTCAACGCTGGTTTCAGACATCTTGAACTGTGTACACTGACTACTGGGTGCTGACCAGACTGCAGGTCAGTCAGCTGCATGACCACAAACATACACACACATATATTTTCATATAAACCAAGCGAGCCACCTTAAAAACATATACATATGTGTGCACAGGTATGCAGGTATGTGGATCTTTCTTTCACACCTCTCGCTCTCTCTCAATGGTGAGGAATTCCCTGCCTGGGTCTAAGAGTGATCACGGTTCGGTTGCTTGGCTGTGGAGTGTGTCATCTCCATCTCGCCTACATGGTCTGCTGTCGCATTACTGAGTGTGTATTTCTGTCACGAGGGAAGAGGAGGAGGAGGAGGAGGAGGAGGGCTTTGGAATGGGGGGTCGAGGCAGAAAGGGAGGGGTGTTTTAGCAAATCTCAGGCTTTCACCCACAGTAATGCATCTTTCCCTGGTTTCGCTTTTCAAAGAAAAAAAAAGGTCCTCGCCCTGCTGTGGAACCTCTAAGGTCGAGGCATCAAAGACTGCACAGGATAGAGGCAGATGACGACACGCTCCATACGCGTCTTCTTTCGTAAGCACAAAACGTAAGCAGGGCTTCAGATGTTGGATTAAAACAAATAGGATCCCATCGCACAGGCCTGCATGATATACATCAGAGTGTTTTACCCCTCTGCATCAGGCTTCATCGCCGCACTTATCAGCAGCGCGCACAAGCACACTCACAAAAACACACTCAGCCTGAAATCCGCGTCCCTAAACCAAGGCGGCCTATTACATAACAAGCTGACATTTCAAAAGGGATGATGCCAGATGATTGAAACAAAAAGGAAGAAGAACGCGTTTCCTTACTTCCCCAGCTCCTCGAACAGCTGATATTCGTCAGTGAATCTCGTGCAGATCGTTAACGCCATCCTGAAGGAGGTGCCAAGGACTGTGCGGAGACGCGGATAAGGTGCACTCACAAACTGTATATACCACACACAGTCAGCACCGCCCGGTTTTGTCCTGAACCTGCAAACCAAACGAAGGGACTCATGCAGAGCTAAAGCGCATCGACAAGAGCTTTAGTGGAATGATTTCTGCGGCAGAAACGCAGCCTGCTAGAGCGTACTCAATCTGGAGGCGTTATCGTCAGCCGGTCCTTTATTTTCTTCACATCCAGCGGCTTGTTACAGCTCGTGGACGCAGCATTTTGTGTGTATGTCGGTTATCTCCTGTGTGTCCTGTGCTGTAAGTGTTGTCTTTCTGCACGCATCGTACGCCGCACTACCGCACCTACCCCCGGCTGTGCGCTCAGTCCCGCCCCTTTGCCTGCATCCTCACGCAAGCCACTGGCAAACAAAAATAACAACATTAATAAATGTAACGTTGTAAATATTAACAGCATTTGGATGCACGAGTATTTTTGGCGTGTCTGCAAAACCTTTCTGAAATTAAAAAATCGCGCAAATGAAATGTAAGGTCATACATAAGCTAGAAACTGAATCCTCCCTTCTTCTGTTTTATTTACATTCTTGATTTATTGATGATTAATTCTGAAGCATCAGTGGCAAAACAGTTGTGACAGTGCTGGCAGATTATATGAAAGTGAAGCTGATGGTTGGTTGGCATTTTGTTTCTATTTACATCCCACACAAGCCCTGCATAGGCATACAGAGCTAGAGGGTTCTGCACAGTATCACAGCTGATCCTAGGACTGCACTCTTCGATTCAGATATTGTAAGTGGAATTTGCTGAAGTCACTGTCTTAGTATGGGGGGCAACAAGTAGCAAAAACAATCCTGATAGATGCACATGCTGTGATTTAAGATAAGCAACAGCCTTCTAGTATTAAACAGACACAAACAAATCATACAACTAAGCAGAAGGACGCTTTCTGTGTTTACTCTGCACAGGTGCTATTTATAGGGCTGCTAACATGCTACTAGCTGCTAGCAGCCTTGACGGTACATGGGGGAAAGATGGCAGAGCTAATGCAATATAATGATTTATTTAACCACAGAGGTAACTAGGCAAACAAATCCAGAAATTCACTGAATTTAGATCTTTGGCGTGTTTATTGAGATGGTAATAAACACACCAAAAGGTCTAAATTCAGTTAGATAAGGCAAAGAACCAAACAGGTGGAAGTTCCACCTTCAGTTTTTTGGGTACTCACATCTCCACCAACCTCATCTGGGCCCAGAACACCAGGTAAAGAAAGCCCTGCAGCGTTTGCACTTCCTCTGTGCCTTGAGGAAGAATAACCTGGACCAGAAGCTGCTGCTACCCAAAAAAAGTCATTGGCTGCACCTCCCAGAAGCTGCTGTTTCAGGAAAACCAGGGTCATCACAGGTGACCCCGTGCATCCCACGCAACAGCTGTTTGACCTGCTGCCCTCAACACTGGCAAACAGCTTCTTCCCTTGGACCACTCATAATGTCAGGAAAGACTATCCCCCCACACCCCACCCCTGGCCACCCACTCACTAATCTGAGCTATGATCTGAGTAACCCTCATCACTCAGGTCACTCACACACAGACTCAGACCGAGTCCATTGCACTACTTTCAAGTACTTTGTAAACTATCCTCTAATGCCTTTCTGTTGTGTGGCTTCCTCTTGTTTTGTATATATATTCCTCTTTTTTACATATTCTTGCTGTCTTGTTATTTATATGTTTTCTTTCCATGCACAGTTGGTGTAGAGCACTCAAAATTTTGTTGTACATCAGTGAAAATGTTAGATCTTTATCTTTAATAGTTTTAAGATAATCGCGTTCAAACATAGCCTGACATTTCAATGTTTGAAAAAGAGACCTGAAAGTGGGTTGTTATCTTTAAAAAATCATGAAAAGTATTTGATATATGAAACTAAAATTTTACAGTACTCATTATGTATGTTCACATTTTGATTCAACCATTCCTTCTCAATTATCCAACTCATATTCACTACCTTTCCAAAGTATATGCTAACACAAAGTATGAAGGAGCCAAGGATTGTACTATCTCCTAAGAGATAGCCTATCCCAAAACTGAAACTGGAAAAACTAATATACGGATTGTTTTCAATGCTTCGAATGAAATTCTTTGCAGTCTCTTTTTGCCTGAAGCCTAGAACAGATGGATATCTCCAGATGTTTTGTTTCATTCCGTGAGATGCTCTGCTAGGCCTGGCCTTTGCTGCAGCCACTTTTTGCTGCAGCTTCTTTGTTAGTCTCTCTGGCTTTGTATGTAATAACCAAAAGCATCCATTTTATTTGTATTCTGCCAGGTTTCAGGCCTTTTGGTGTCACTGAGGTGACCAGTACTTTCCTTCTTTAAAAGAATGTATTGATTTGGCCACCCCTTTTCCTTTTTTCAGCCTGTTATTGGCCCTTCACTTCCATCCACATCTGTTTTGCTCTTATTGAGAATTCTAGTGAAAAATACCACGTGTTAGTTCAACACTTGGAATCAACTTCACTTCTTTGGAATTGGCTACATGGCTATGGGAAATATGCACTTTGTTTGATTAAAAATTGAATTAAAAAATAAAATAAAATAAGAAATCAGGGCTGATTAGGAAGTGTTATGCACGGGGCGATCATGGCTCAAGAGTTGGGAGTTCACCTTGTAATCGGAAGGTTTCCAGTCTCGGTCGTTGTGTCCTTGGGCAAGACACTTCACCCGTTGCCTACTGGTGGTGGTCAGAGGGCCCAGTGGCGCGAGTGTCCGGCAGCCTCGCCTCTGTCAGTGCGCCCCAGGGTGGCTGTGGCTACAATGTAGCCATCACCAGTGTGTGTGAATGGGTGGATGGCTGGATGTGTAAAGTGCTTTGGGGTCCTTAAGGACTAATAAAGCGCTATACAAATACAGGCCATTTACCATGCAGGCCAGCAGAGATTAGAAACCAGGAGGGGCTGATGAAAAATGGGAACTTCTGGGTCAGTGAGATAATAACAACAGGAAGAGAAATCCAAGGACATGTGTTCAGTAGAAAGGCAAAGATAAAAGCAAGAATGTGGTTTGGCAAAAGTGAGCATGCCCTGAAAAGCAGATTATAACACATATACCTGTGAAGTCAATTAACTTTTGAGGTAATTTTGTCTTGTGACCCCAACAAAAAAAAATTGTATCGGTGGATCTCCTTGTCACATTTCAGATGACAGATGGCCTCATGACATTCTCATCAATAATAGATGTTCCCTCTAAAATTTCAGTTTTAGGACCAAAGAGGAAAAACTAGTCATGGTCTGACAAAAAGCCAATTACTTGATTATAATGTATTATGCCATAAGTTGGAATCAGTGGACTACTTAATGTAGGTCCACTATAACTAGTTACAACAGTAAATAATTACTTCGACACAATATGCATCAGTAATAACAATCTATTAAAATATGTAATGTATGTCATATATGTTACTATATCATCGAATGGGTGTTTTTCCATACAGAATATTTACAATATCTGGCTGCTCCTATTATTGATATTGTCAGTTTTGCAATATAAAATGTAAGAAAGGGCAAACAAGCTATTTCAATTTGACATTTTATTTGACATTTTATTTCATAAATACAGAAAAAAAATTAAGCACTTATAATCATAAATACATAAATACATACACACAGGGAAATAGGTAGCCTCCCTTTCTTCATGACAGGAGAATACATGGAGAATACATATACTGAAGTAAAAAAATAAGGTGTTTGATACAAACACTTCAATCAAAATTCTGTCATTTTTAACAGGTTTTCAGGCGAGTGGTACTGCTAGTTGCATATGATGACATTCATCTCGTGAAAGGAAAACGGTGATTTCAGTGATTTTTGTTGGTTAAAAAACAGCTCGTTCATGAAGCACATCTCTTGTGTCGCTTCAGTTCTTCAGCTCAGGGTCTGCTGCTTGGACAAGAAACAGTAAAGAAGAATTAATTTGTGTGTCAAAAGTGGATTTTAACATTGTTTGATAATTTCTTAGTTTCTATTTCCTATTAAAAGAAAGACTGCTGTGTTGGCATACTTTTAGGTAAAATCTTACCTGGACATGATCTTGTTGATCACTTTCTTGACCCAGGGGGCCTCAGGATTAAGGCAAACCTCTTCACCTGTCCTTTTCAGTGTGGCACTGCAACACAAATCAGTGAAAAAAAACTAAAGTTTAGATAGAGAACTCGTGTTGAAGCCAACAAATCACAGTGACAAAATCAAGCAAAATTATCACTACTGAGATGGAAAGAAGACTTTGGCTCTTACATGATCTCCGTCTCCTCGCAGTGGGAGTTGGGAAGAATCAACTCCACCTTCTCGATGTGGCGGCCAATAGGTTTGCTTTCTGTCTGAATGCAACGGCAGTGCAGTTCCACTCCCATGCCTGTAAGAAGAAAGCAGTTGCACATGGTCACGAAGTGCATGCTGAAAACATTTAATGCAATGAAAAAGGATAGCATGAATAAAATTGCTTGTTACTGCTAAATTAAGCCATTAAATGACAAAAAAAAAATACCTTCACAGGTGGCCAGCAGGGTCAAAAGCACCACGATGGAGCTGACAATGATTCTGTTGCTTATCATTTTGCCTTTTAGAAATTCTGTAAAAACTAACAACGAAAAATAACAATGTTCTTCTGAAAGCTGATGAAGCCTGAAGCGCTAATCTGCAACAGCTGTTTGTTTTTTCTTCTAGTCTGTTTGTCTTTCTTTCAGCTCCCGGTCCCCTCTCTTCTCTCAGTTCAGCTGCTCTGCTGTTTGACTCTATCCCTGAAGAGGCTCAGCTTTTAAAGCCAACTGAAAATGACTCACTTCTTGCAGATTGCGCAAGAGTGGACTTTCAGACCCGGTGTGGGAATTCACACTGAGAGCTCTAATAGTCTGATTTATCAAGATTTGTCACATATATCACCTTTGTGGAAAAACACTGTGACTAAAACTCTGTGATAATCGACTGATGCCACAGGAATGCTTCAGATTTTTTTTTTTTTCATTAACCAACTACGTCTGCATTCCTGTATTGCACCAGCTCTTGCACGAAGCTTAAAGATTGACCAAGTGGTGACTGATTCACAGATATAATATAATTTACACCTGAATGTAATTTTTGAATGACTGGTTGATGAATGTTAGCCTCCGTTTGTTGGCATGTCTCTCACATACTCAGTCATCATGAAAGTTACCTATTTGCATAGTTTTCATATAACAAAGTGAAAATGGGGAAAATGCAAAAGTGGCTAAATTCCTAAGTAAAATGTAGTATCACATTCGCTCATCAAGTCTTATAAGAGCTACAGTATTTTTTATTCTTAAAGAATTTCATTTCTTTTCCATATGAGATGGTAATTGCCTCCTCAGTAATTAACTGCCAACTTAATTTCACTCAGTCCTTAAGAAGAAAAGCTGTATTTCAACAGTGGGTATACTGTGAATGTGTTGATCATGTACACATGGCATATATGCATTATAGTAAAAAAAAAATGCATATATGCTAAAAAGAGACAGAAAATCCTTTCCCAGAACTGATGACACTGAACCTTTGGCTTTTATGCACCCTAGATTACATTGGTGTCATTTTGGAAGGCACGATCGTCAGTTTATTACTTATGCGATTGATATTTCCTGAAGCAACAGTGGGTGAGCTGCCAAAAGTTGTTATTGGACTTGAGTCTGATGCAATCTCATCTAGCTCAAACATGTCTGCTGACATGACGTCGATTCAATCATTCTCACAAAGCAGAAGGAAGTCTGAGCAAGAGAAAAAGACTTTACGGTAACTGTTGCTTCACTTAACAAATTAATGCTGACTAAAGATTTTTTTTCTTTCAGAGGGCAAAAGTCTGTCATTTAAAGGCACAGATATTTCCATATTAGTTGTAATGAATTTTTTTTCTGTTTTGTTTTGTTTTTTTAAATTGATTTTTGGAAAAATTGGATGCAATGACCAAAGGTCTATAAACCTATTAACCGATGGTCCCTTTGTGGTCACACCCACCTTCGCTATATAGAAAGGGAAAGCAGTTATGGTTAAACACAGAGCATGTGATGGACCTCAACGGAAAGTTTTTAAGTTAACCATTACGATGCTGAAATTAAAACTAACATATGTAGTGAGACATGTGAAGAAAAGATGATATCCGGCATGTGACCACCAGCAAATATTAGAAATCAAATGACAGTTTACATCATCTGGCTCCATGAAATTCCCCTAAAGAAATATTTACATATATGAGTGACCAAACACTGTCTATTGCTTGAGTTTGAGTTCTGTGCATTTATAGTATTTCATATTTCCTGCACACAACAAAGAAAAAAAATATTTTTACTGTTATATGCAAGATTTCATTTTGCAAAGCAAAACCTATTTTAAGGAGCGTACTTTCGTATATTAGTGAGGACATCTCATTGGCATAATGCTTTCATTTTCTGCCATCACAAAGATGTTTAAACATGTACACACACACACACACACACACACACACACACACAATACAGGAACTAGACTTTTAGTTAAGAGGAAGTATAACAAAATTTTTCCTAACAGCATGTTTCACAAAACAAAACTTCCACAACCTCATGTTGGCCCATCTTGAACCTAAAGCTAGAAGTTGAAGCAAAGAAATTCCCCTAAATGGAATAAATGAAATCAGACCATTTTAGGTGGATAATGAAAATGATGAACTATTTTTAACACCTATTTTGGAATTATTGTTAAAAGATGACTCACACTGTCAACTCACAATGGCCAGGTTTGAAATGACAAAACAAATATTGGATGAAACTGCAGTGCCATTTAGTGTAGGTATCTAAGAGGTGAGAATAAACTCTACTAACTTTTATGCAAGCATTCCAGTTTTTGCGTCCTTGTGAATCATCTCACTATCTACTTGAATTACAGTACTTGCTGCCATGCTGGTGCATGCTGGTAGCAGGCACATTCATTGAGATTTGACAACAACTGGGGTGGGATGAACTGTGCTTAAAAATGACATATATGGTCATGTTTCCTCAGAATGAATAGTAGGAACGTCTGTAAACCTTCAACTTTATGTAGCTCACTGATTTTCCCACCAATTGTGTGTTTTCATTTACAGATTACCACATTCTAAGTGAAGTATATAATAAAAAATAGATATTTTCAAACATTAAAACCACTCCAATCACCTCCACATTCACTAAATGTATATTGCCAAAACTATTCACTCATCTGCCTTCACACACATATGAACTTGAGAGGCATCCCATTTTTAATTCCACAAGGTTTAATTTATTTGTGTTTATGAAAATTTTTGACCATCGTTCCACAAGTGCGTTTGTGAGGTCAGACAAGGAAGTTGGAGGAGAAGGCCTGGCTCCCACTCTTTAATTCATCCAAAAGGTGTTCAGTCAGGTTGAGGTCAGGACTCTGTGCAGGCAAGTCAACTTCTTTTACGCCAAACTCTCTCATCATGTACTATGCACCTAAGCATCCACTGACCCTGCTCTGTGACTTTAGTTGGTTTGGGGCATACAGTGGGGCAAAAAAGTATTTAGTCAGCCACCGATTGTGCAAGTTCCCCCACCTAAAATGATGACAGAGGTCAGTAATTTGCACCAGAGGTACACTTCAACTGTGAGAGACAGAATGTGAAAAAAAAATCCATGAATCCACATGGTAGGATTTGTAAAGAATTTATTCGTAAATCAGGGTGGAAAATAAGTATTTGGTCAATAACAAAAATACAACTCAATACTTTGTAACATAACCTTTGTTGGCAATAACAGAGGTCAAACGTTTACTATAGGTCTTTACCAGGTTTGCACACACAGTAGCTGGTATTTTGGCCCATTCCTCCATGCAGATCTTCTCGAGAGCAGTGATGTTTTGGGGCTGTCGCCGAGCAACACGGACTTTCAACTCCTGCCACAGATTTTCTATGGGGTTGAGGTCTGGAGACTGGCTAGGCCACTCCAGGACTTTCAAATGCTTCTTACGGAGCCACTCCTTTGTTGCCCGGGCGGTGTGTTTTGGAGCATTGTCATGTTGGAAGACCCAGCCTCGTTTGATCTTCAAAGTTCTCACTGATGGAAGGAGGTTTTGGCTCAAAATCTCATGATACATGGCCCCATTCATTCTGTCCTTAACACGGATCAGTCGTCCTGTCCCCTTGGCAGAAAAACAGCCCCATAGCATGATGTTTCCACCCCCATGCTTCACAGTAGGTATGGTGTTCTTGGGATGCAACTCAGTATTCTTCTTCCTCCAAACACGACGACTTGAGTTTATACCAAAAAGTTCTACTTTGGTTTCATCTGACCACATGACATTCTCCCAATCCTCTGCTGTATCATCCATGTGCTCTCTGGCAAACTTCAGACGGGCCTGGACATGCACTGGCTTCAGCAGCGGAACACGTCTGGCACTGCGGGATTTGATTCCCTGCCGTTGTAGTGTGTTACTGATGGTGACCTTTGTTACTTTGGTCCCAGCTCTCTGCAGGTCATTCACCAGGTCCCCCCGTGTGGTTCTGGGATCTTTGCTCACCGTTCTCATGATCATTTTGACCCCACGGGATGAGATCTTGCGTGGAGCCCCAGATCGAGGGAGATTATTAGTGGTCTTGTATGTCTTCCATTTTCTGATGATTGCTCCCACAGTTGATTTTTTCACACCAAGCTGCTTGCCTATTGTAGATTCACTCTTCCCAGTCTGGTGCAGGTCTACAATACTTTTCCTGGTGTCCTTCGAAAGCTCTTTGGTCTTGGCCATGGCGGAGTTTGGAGTCTGACTGTTTGAGGCTGTGGACAGGTGTCTTTTATACAGATGATGAGTTCAAACAGGTGCCATTCATACAGGTAACGAGTGGGGGACAGAAAAGCTTCTTACAGAAGACGTTACAGGTCTGTGAGAGCCAGTGATTTTCCTTGTTTGAGGTGACCAAATACTTATTTTCCACCCTGATTTACGAATAAATTCTTTACAAATCCTACCATGTGAATTCATGGATTTTTTTTTTACATTCTGTCTCTCACAGTTGAAGTGTACCTCTGGTGCAAATTACTGACCTCTGTCATCATTTTAAGTGGGGGAACTTGCACAATCGGTGGCTGACTAAATACTTTTTTGCCCCACTGTATCTCAGTGTGCTGTTAGAGTGTGCTGAGAGTGTCACCAAAAAATTAAGGAAATTTGTTAAGTGGAGGACAAAACATGCCAGGTCTAAAAAACTACACATATCTACTGCAGATAAACAGTAACTGAAAGCCATGCCCTAAAGAAATAGAGGAAGAAATCACGGGGAAAAAAAGACAAAGGGAATGCAAGATATATCTGTCCCTTCTATTCCCTGAGGTCTCATCAGAAATTGTTTCAGTGGGAGTGTGGCAGTTAAAAAGCCATTGTTAAGGAGGGGAACCGGGAAGAAAAGGCTAATTTGCTGTGCCAAAATAAACAAGAACGGACTCAAACTCAGTGGCAAGAGGTCTTCTGAAGTGAGTGTCAACAGCCACTGCTAAAACTTGCTGAAAGATTTGTCATGGTTTGGGAATCTTGTCAAAATTCATTTAATTATGAATGCAAAAAAGTAACATCAGATTATAAACCATCATTCACTAACATCTGGAACTCATCTGATTGCTGTGTCAGTGATCACCGTCACTGTCAAAACATTATTGATGCACAAAAGGCACTGAATAGAAAACACACAATGGAACATAATCTGTCATGGGTTGAAAAGCCAGACTT